GCTTGGGAAAGATAATGGCAGATTATTTTGGAACAGATTGCTAACATAGAAATCTCTATGCTGAAGTTTCAATGCCTACTATTTTTTTTTTTTTAACCAAGGATCCAATGTGAGCCTCTCATTGACCATGAGGACCTTTTCTCCACAGAAGCCCTGTATGTTGGCCAGCCTTTACGAAGTCCTCCAGACATAGTCACACGCCTGTAGAGTGGATCTTGAAGTCCAGGTTTCAAGATAACTACCTTGTTAAGACATTCCTCAGATAGGTCATTGAACACATTGACCAAGTGTCCTTGCATTCCACTGTGTGACCTTGGGCAAAATGTACAGTTATTGGTAAAGTGGAATTAAACTAAATCTCATGAAATGCTTTTCTCAAAAGCAGAGACCAGGAAAAGGGCTTGCATGGAGGTAATTTATTTGGGTAAGTGATCCCAAGAAAGAATGGAGGACTAGAAAGAATGAAATAGGGAAGGAGGGAAAGCCAAGTCAAGCATGCATTATTGAGCTAATCACCTCTTGGGGTTACTGGGGCATAAATCTCCCAGGGACAGATTCCTGAGGTGTCCATCCTGTGGCAAGGAGGAACAGGTTTCACATGGCAAATAATCATACTAGTGCCCCTGGAAAATCTTACCACAGAAAACTATAATGCTGGGTATATAAGTTCCTAGTGTGTATGTGTCTCATAAGTACATACTGAATACTTTAAACTGGGAAATATATCAGCAAAAAACCATGTAGGCTTTATTTAAAGGGTCAATGTAGATCAATTTATGAGAATTGTGATCTCTTCATGTGGATTAGGTTTAGAAATATCTATAATAAGGAATTACATTAGACAGGGTTCAGTTGGAAAACAAAAGGTAGTCTATTTCAATCAAGATAAATAGCATACAGGGAAATCAGTTAAATGGGTGAGGGAAAGGTGAAGTCAACAGATGGTGAGGCAAACCAGTTATCAGCAACATCCAGAAGCCACTACGACCTTTAAGACACTAGACATGGGAAGTGATGGGGTTACTCCAGGCTGCCCATAGGAGCTGGTATCACAGAGGGAAGGGCTATCTTTTAGGGGCTGGGATCACAGAGAAGACTTGGGCTCTGCTGGAAACGCTACCTGGAGCCATAAGAGATGGAGAAATTGCCTGGCTTTCCCTCCCCTCATTCCCTCCAGTTTTCCACCATGTCTCCCATGGGCTGAAACCAGAGTGACTGGTAAAGCAACGTGGAAAATGTTACTTCCTTAACACATTCAGAATAGGGGGCAGTGAGGAATGCATGTGAGAGCAAGCAAACAAATGATTAGCACATGTTGCTGTTTTTGCTACTAATGTCCATTCTCACACTTCTAAACTTTTTTTTTTTAACAGTTTTTCAGCAGATATTGTACTTCTAAACATTTTAGCTATGATATAGTCACGACCTAGTGCAGTTACAGAGTAGGATGCAACTGTCCTTTACATGAATCTACTCACCTCACCGGTTTCTTAATAATTCAGTAAAAGGACCCTTGAAGGCAAGAGTATGTTTGCCAAGTGGCAATAGCTTGACTCTTAATTAAGCCTCTTTCATTCTATAGAACAGGGGTCCTCAAAGTTTTTAAACGGAGGGGCCAGTTCACTGTCCCTCAGACCGTTGGAGAGTGCGCACTGTGGGCCTGGGACGAGTTGGCTGCTAAGCAGGACTGGCAGTGGCAGCAAAAACACCCGGAAGGCTGGATAAATGTGCTAGGCTGCTTGCATGTGGCCCATGGGCTGTAGTTTGAGGATGCCTGCTATAGAAAGTTCATTTGATTCCATTACCCTCTCATCTTGAAAGAATACGAGAAATAAGCTTGAAAGTGAAGGAAAGGGTGGAGTCTACTGTCTCCTCCTGCTCTTTGTTTCCCTTTTTTTTTTTTTTTTCTTTCTTTTTTTAGTCAGAATTTGACATGGGTATCTTTGTTTCCCTTGTCATGCACACTCACTCTTTAAACCCTCTGAAGCTGGAGAGAAGCATTTTAGTGGAGTAGTGAATCCAGAAACCAGAGGTGGTCTTGTCAATTCCTAGACATCAAATCAATGATCTTGGTCCTCACTTTTCTCTGCCTTTCTGCAGTTTTCGACCATGATAAGCATGTATTTCTTTTGCAAAGTCTCCATTTTCTTGGCTTCTTTCAACCTTCAGAAAATTGAAGATGGCTTGGGAAAAATCATTTCTTTTTCCTTTTCTTTCATTCTCCACTGCCCTTAAATTATTCCAAGCATCAGCCCTAATTGCTTTCTTTCCTTTTCACAATTCCATCCAGCATTCCTATTTAGATGACTCTCTAATGTCTATTTCTACCCCCTAACCTCTTTGTTTTTAGTTTTCTAACTGCCTCTGGAAATTCTTAGGCACACCTCACTATATTTAAAACTAAATGAATCTTCCATCATTAGTCCTGTTCCTCCTATTGTATTTCTTAGGTAGGGTGAGTAAAAAATTCCAGTCAATATTATTTAAGGGGGACAAAAAAAGACTAAGGTTTGAGGAGCCATGGAAAGAAAAGAGGTCAAATATATTACAGATGAGTGACCTTGAGGACTTGATAACATGTATCTTTCTCCTTTTATTCATTACAGATCCGTTATTACAAGTTGTACAAAAGTTCACTGATAGTCTCTTTATTGTGCTGTTATATAGTTTTATTTTTGTTTATATGGAACTTCTGTAATTGCAGTACTAAACAGTCTGTCAACTCTGTTTACATGTTAGGCTCTTAAGTTTCTCAAATTCAACTTCTTCCATCTTGTGGATATTTGGGAACTTAATCTATAGTGGAGCAGTGGAGTTGTGTGTGTTTATTATAATAGAATAAGGGTAATAATATGTATTCAAGTGTGGGAACCTATAAAAATAGAAAACCTATCAAGGAATCAATTGAATCTGTACTTCTCAGTATACTCCCTCCCCAAATTCTAAGCCACAATGGATATGCTTAATTATGGATCTATAATAACCCTTGCACTCTCTCTAATGTTATCTAGGGTTAATCCTTGATCTGATTACATTCTAAATACAACTGAAACAACTGGAAATGGCTCTTTGTCATGACTAAACTGTGTTTTGAACACCTGCTATCAAATACATGTTACAGAAGCTTCTCCAAGTAGATGCCATGGTCCATCAGTAAAAATACTCAGCTGTCTGGAGGGACAAGTGTTAGGTCATGTGGGTTCTCAGCAACTATTGCCATGTCTTGAAAACAAATGCCAGAGAGAGAAATGAGAAGTCTTTTTAGTATATATGCCAAAGGCCTGAGAGTGCATTACATTATGGTTTCTGGAAACAAACATAGTATCTTTGTGCCCATTTTCTAGAATTAGGCAGTTAAAGTTATGACTTGCCTGTCTCAGACTACAGTAGTGAGACTATCACCTTCTGCTGGAGTCTTGTACTCACGGGCCACCAATTTTTCTTTAGTGCAGTGGACTGTGGAATGAAGGGGAGAGTCAGTGAACAGATAAAATGGAAGAAGTATTTGTTCTATTCTTCTCTTCTACTCCCATTATTTGTGACTCAGAGGTGCCAAGGAGAGGGTCTGGCATGACTTTAGGGAAAAAAGAAGGTGGAAAGGAAAGAAATGAAAGGTTATTTGTTGTTATTTTTTTTTTTTTATGGTGGTGGTGGTAAAGAACTGCTTATAGAAGAAAGAGTTCCAGGAATTAGTGGAAGCAATGAAATGGTTTATCCCACCTGTTGGCTGTGGGTTTATGTTATTAACATACTATGCCTATAGCAGAGTTATATTGGCTCTGATTTGTTACTACTATGGATATATAAAAGTGCTTTTTAAACTAATAGCAATTCTTTTCCTATATTTTAAAAAATATATGTGTAGAAAAAAATGGATAAATACATCAAAATGGTTACTACTTTTTAACTCATTCTTATATCCTGCTTTTTTCCACTTAAATATTTCTTCAGGTTAGCAAATATATTTCAAAATCACAGATTATGAAGCCACTCAAAACACTGATGCTATCATATGGCTAAATTTTGTATTTATTGAATATTTAAATTGCTTCTAATATTTTGCTATTTTATATCACTGAAACAAATATACTAGAATTCTTCCTTTTCAATATCAAAACTTACTTTGCTAACACTTAGAATGAGTGGAATTACAGAGGAGCATGCAGGTATTATGTGACTTGTAGCTATTAGGTTATTAAGTATGAAATGTCTGATTTCCTTAAGTACTAAGTTTGACAGTAGATATCTCTGACATTTCACTTTTACATGTCTTGTTTATTTTTATTGTGAGGGTACATTCTCATTCCTTCAAACACAGTTTAGCTTGTGATTATCTTTCAAAAAAATTTTTAGAGTGATTTTTGTGAAACCATAGATAAGTCAAAACTTCATGTTATTTTTGAATCTGAGTTCTCTTGTGGAACCAATGCAGCCCAGACAATTTGAAATAATCAACAAAGTGTTTGGGAAGGACATGGCTAATGAACACATAGTACATCGATGGTTTGCGAAGTTCCGTTCTGGTGATTTTAGTCTTGAAAATGAGCTGTGTTGGTGACCTGAGACCAAGGTGGATAATGATGAGCTGAGAGCTGTAGTGGAAGCAAATACATCTCAACCTGCTTGTGAATTAGCTGCAAGGTTTGATGTTACTATTCCAGCAATATTGGGCCATTTGAAACAAAGGGTCAAGGTAAAGAAGCTGGAATGATGGGTTCCGTGCGAATTAAACGAGCATCAGAAGAGAAATCATCTCAAAGCTTGCCTTTCTTTGTTGTCAGGAGATAAAGGCAAACCATTCCTACACCATAGTGTTACGTGTGATGCAAAATGGATTCTTTTTGACAATTGCAAGCATTTGGCACAGTGGTTGGGTAAAGATGAAGTGCCAAAACAGTGCAAAACTGAATATTCACCAAAAAAAAGTAATGGTGTCAGGTGGCCCAGCACTGGTATTATCCACTATAGCTTCTTGAAGCCTGGTCAATCCATTACAGCAGATGTCTATGGGACCTAATTGGACAAAATGATGAGGATGCCGATTAAGCAGCGAGACTGGTCAGTAGAGACAGGCCAACCTTCTTGCGTAACAGCGCTGACCACATGTCGTACAAACAACACTACTCAAGCTACAAAGGCTGGACTTGGAAACTCTGTCCTCCACTGTATCCACCAGACCTCGCACTAACTGCCACTCTTCCGGGCTTTGGACCACTTGTTGCAAGAAAACATATCCGATTCTCAGCACGCTGTGGAAAACTTTCACCTTTTGCGATTTCACCGCCACTCACTCTCTAGGCTTCTTTGCTGCTGGCATAAACAAGCTACCATTAAGATGGCAAAACTGTCAGAAGTTTAGGCACAGACCTTAATTGTACTTCTTGTTTGAGATATAATAAACTGAACTTTTGATTCAAAATCGGACATTTCATATTTAATGACTTAATAGCTATGTGTGGAAGCTTGGGTTTTCTAATCTACCTCCTCCACTAAAGTCCAGGGAACCAGGGGTTAAACTCCTAGCAGATGGTGCTGCTGCCAAAGATGCTGCTGACTGAGCATGCCAGGAATTTAAAGAGTTGCTTAAACAGGGTTAACACATGGCCTGTGGGAAGACAGCTGGTCTGCAGCAGAATTACAGGTCGGAAGGTTAGATACATTTCCCTGAAAGCAGAGGACACACTGGAGTTGGGATCAGTGAATGCCATTTAGGGAAAGGAAAAAGCATAAAGGTGCTATTTAAGGGAGCAATTGAATGAGAGCGTAGACAATGCTAGGGTAGAACAGAATAACTACCAAATATGGAGGAGGGGTGACAAAATGATGGAGACAGAAACAAGCATGGCAGGACACGGCCTCTGCAGCCTCTACTCAAAATACGGGGAGAGCCGATGCCACCAGCCCTTTCCCAGCTCCAGGGTCTGCTGTCTTTTGCTTGCACCAGTATGTGCAGGGAGTTGGGAGAGCTCTGATTATGCTAGGCCCTTGGACATTTAACATGGCTTTATGCTTAAGAGGATGCAGTGAGATGTTATCAAGTTGGAAGAAGACTTTAACCTCTTGGAATTAAAATTAATTCGTATTAATTAAATTAACTCTTATTATTAAAGCCACTGTCTTATTAAGGACAGTGGCTTACATTTATTGCAGTCCAAATTCTGCAAATGCCTTGAAGGTCTGTTCTTGATGAAGAAGCACTATGAGAGGTATTATGGAATAGAGGTTTGAAATTAAAGTTTAAGACACATTCTCAGGTCTCAGGTAGTTTATAATACAAGACAAGGGTGGTAAACAGAAGCCTATAACACAAGGTGACTAAGAAAACTGGTACAGAGGAAGTAGTAGTAGAATCAAAAGCGAGAGAGAGAGAGACAAAGATTGGTGAAGAAAGCATTGAAATTTTATGAAGAATGAAGGAAATATTACCAAAGACTTAGGAGGACATTAAAAGTGAAAGAAATCACATAAGCACAGGCACCAAAAGACTGTTCTCTTTCTCTCTCATACACATATACTACATTGTGCTCTAAGGTTTCCTTATGAAATAAGACAACCTATCAGGTTCAATTTCTGATAAGAAGTGGGTATTAAATATATTTTGAATATTTGAAGACCCAGTTTCTAGATGGCCTACAGAATGATACAGGGGAAGACCATGAACTTTAGTGCTAGATAGATTTGGGTTCTAATTTCAATCTGTTTCTTTGCTGTGTGACCTTGAATAAATTAATCTCTGAGAAGTTTTCTTATTTATAAATATGAGGAATATAAGAGTGGACATGCAAAGTTATTGTAAGGGTTAAACAGCCAGACGTGGTGGTACAGGTGCCTGGTAAGTAAGGGCTTGTGCTCTGCTCTTACTTTTCACTTGCCGACCACGTGGGCGCAGCTGCTCCTCCTCGGCAACACCAGAGGGCAGCATCGTCCCGTTCTTGTAATCAAAGGCTTCCAGGAGTGACTGCTTCCTTGCAGACAGGGTTTTTCTAAATGCTTTCAGCAAGGGAGGAAACAGAAACTGTGTTTCAGAATGTGAATAGGGCAAGAAGGGATAAACCCTGGAAGGACTTTGGAACGGCTGCTGTGTCCCTGTGCCAGCAACAGCTGTGTGCACAGACCCCATGGAAGGCAGCACTCAGCCATCTATCTCTGCCAGCTGGTTAGGAGGACTTCTGGTACTAATGGAACAGAACTTTAGATTGGGAATCTAAATGAATCTGTTTATTACTAGAAAACCACTGTGCTTGTATGATACATCTGAAAAGCCTGCTGGAATGTGTTTGCTAGAGAGTAGGAACTATGGTGACCATGTGTTCCAGTTTGCCTGGGACAGCCTGATTTATGACTGTGGTTCTGTAGTAATTATTGGTACCTCCTTTTACTTTCAAAGTGTCTTGGTTTGCAGGATAAGTTATGTTGCCATCCCGCTCAGAACGGTCAGAGGGATACTCACTAAGAGTAATGGATATGCCCTAGCCAGAGTCCTTGGGTCTGGTTAAGATCATGCACAGGCTTTGGAGTCAGAAAATGACAGATGTATCTGGGTTAAAATCCCTGCTGTGTGTGTCATTGGCAAGTTATTTAACCTCTTTAAGCCCCAGTTTCCTGATGTATAGATTAGGGATAATAACAGGATGTGAATGTAGTGTCCAATTTAATCCTCCTAATTAAAGTGCATACCAGAGTCTCTGGCACAGTGATACATCAATGCTGCCCTTGTTATTTTTAAGATTCACCATAAGATTCGAGCTGTCACCTTAGCTCGGTGATAGCTTAGCTGTCAGCTGACAGCTTAGCTTAGATTGGATCTCTAGAGGTGAAGGAATTGAAGACAAGAGTAAAAATAAGTTACGGTTATAAAATTATTGCTGAATTGCTCAAGGTTAGTGCCAAATGAGCACCCATTTCTCAGAACGTGCATTGAGGTGGTTGCTGTTTCTCTGGAGACCATTCAGTGTAAAAGATGTGACCATCTCTGTCCTGAAGCAAGTACAGGGCACAATGTTTTTCTGGAGCTTAGAGAACAATAGATATTTGACTATTCTGCATTTTTCTTATTTAATTACAAAATATTTCAAATACATAAATAAGAATAATCTTGTAGACCTGAGAAGTGGAGAGCAAGAAGTGGAGAGCATGCAAGCGGAAAAGACGGCCCCTTTCCGCTGACTCCCAGGCACGAGGCCCTCATTTTGGCTTCTCAGTGAGTGGCAGTGGCGGCAGCGTCGGTGGCTAGAACAATAACCTGTCTGAGGGCGGCAGCCAACAGCTAGACCTAAAGGGCAAGGAAATAAAGTTTCAGTACAAAACAGTTCGATTCATCAAAAAGATGCTGTAAATGATGATGATTTTGAGCCATACTTAAGTAGCCAGACAAATCAGAGTAACAACTATTCACCAATGTCCGATCCATACATGCTTAGTTACTATGCTCCATCCATTGGATTTCCATATTCTCTTGGGGAAGCAGCCTACGCCATATCTGACAACCTATGGACAAATGAGTAATGGAGAACATCATTATATACCGGATGGTGTGTTTAGTCAACCTGGGCATTAGGAAATACCCCTCCATTTCTTGGTCAACATGGATTTAACTTTTTTCCTGGTAATGCTGATTTCTCTACATGGGGGACAAGTGGATCTCAGGGACAATCAACACAAAGTTCTGTGTATAGTAGCAGTTATGGCTATCCACCTAGTTCTCTTGGTAGAGCTATCACTGATGGATAGGCTGGATTTGGCAATGATACTTGGAGTAAGGTGCCTGGCATTAGCAGTATTGAGCAAGGCATGACTGGACTGAAAATTGGTGGTGACCTGACAGCTGCAGTGACAAAAACTGTAGGTACAGCCTTGAGCAGCAGTGGTATGACTAGCATTGCAATCAGTAATGTATCCCAGTTAGCAGTACAGCACCTAAACCAACCTCCTGGGCTGCCATTGCCAGAAAGCCTGCCAAACCTCAACCGAAACTTAAACCCAAGGGCAATGTGGGAATTGGAGGTTCTGTTGTGCCACCACCTCCTATAAAACACAATATGAATATTGGAACTTGGAATGAAAAGGGGTCAGTGGTAAAGGCTCCACCAACCCAACCAGTTCTGCCTCCTCAAACTATAATCCAGCAGCCTCAGCCATTAATTCAACCACCACCGTTGGTGCAAAGCCAACGGCCTCAACAGCAGCCTCAGCCACAGCAGCAACAAGGACCTGCCCAGCCTCACCAAGTGCAGCCTCAACAGCAGCAGCTGCAGAATCGCTGGGTAGCTCCTTGGAACTGGAGAGCAGGCTTCAACCAGAACAATGGAGCCGGCAGTGAAAACTTTGGTTTAGGTGTTGTACCTGTCAGCGCTTCACCTTCTAGTGTAGAAGTGCATCCAGTGCTGGAAAAGCTAAAGGCCATAAACAACTATAATCCCAAAGACTTTAATTGAAACCTGAAGAATGGACGTGTGTTTATAATTAAAAGCTACTCTGAGGATGACATATATTGTTCCATTAAGTACTCTATCTGGTGTAGTACTGAGCATGGTAATAAGTGTTTGGATCCGTACCCAGAATGGGAAAGGCCCACTCTATTTACTCTTCAGTGTGAATGGCAGTGGACATTTTTGTGGAGTGGCTGAAATGAAGTCTGTTGTGGACTATAATGCATATGCTGGTGTCTGGTCTCAGGATAAGTGGAAGGACAAATTTGAAGTTAAATGGATCTTTGTCAAAGATGTTTCCAATAACCAATTACGGCATATTCACTTAGAAAATAATGACAACAAACCAGTTACCAATTCAAGGGACACTCAAGAGGTACCCCTAGGAAAAGCTAAGCAAGTGCTTAAAATAGTTGCTACTTTCAAGCATACCACCTCAATCTTTGATGACTTTGCACATTATGAAAAGCGTCAAGAAGAGGAGGAAGCCATGCATAGGGAGAGAAATAGAAACAAACAATAACCATATGGAGATGTCCTGTTAAAATTACAACACTAATGACGTAGACTCTGGCAATGCCTAATAAGTCAAAAAAGACGTTATTAAAGCTTATTTTCTGCTTAAGGTGACATCTTTAAACACTTTAACACAAAATTGACTCTTCTTGTAATGATTTTCATCATCGCATCTGCCCGCATACTCTCACCTAACACACTTGACAACTGTAACTTCATCAAGCACTTTCTGTCCTGAAGCTTTTACCAGTATTGGCTGTCTTTTGTAATTATGCATCCTAACTAAGGCACAGAAGACTGAATGAATGCAAGGATTCATTAACTCTTTGAATTTGTTAAATACTAACAGTTAACCATTAGAAGTGGTTCAATGATGTAAGAGTCACACTGCTTCAACTTTTCTTTGTTGTAGTTTTTAAATTGTCAATTTTTAGCTATTTGACAGATTAAAAACAAAATAATCATGCCATATTTAGTCTTGGAGTTCAAGTCTAAATGTTTATGTGAAAAATTATTGTAGTAAACTTTTAATATGGCAAAGCAAACTTAAGCTCTATTTTAGCCAAATGAAACATAATCTGAAATTATATTAGAACATTTCCCTTGTCTTCAAACTGTTTGGTGTAACAGAATATTGATATGGAGCTTGGTGGATTTCACCAGTTAATGCACATTCTTCTCTCCTCCTTCCCCTAGTATATTGAGAAGTGTGCATTTGTGTGAGGAATTATTTTGTTTGCTACCACTTAATGAATCTCAAAGTTTTGAGTAAATGTACCTCAGTCTAATCAGACTTTTTATGACCTTTATAACTACATTTAAAACCTTTAATTCCTATTTCTGGGTGTTTGCGAGCCTGATTGCTATCATGAAGTAAAAATTTATTACTCTAGGTATTCACTAGCTGAATAAACAGTTCTTGTTTAGCAAGCATATACTGTTCCTCAGCTCTTTTCTCCAGCTTTTGCAGTGTCCTGGCACCCTTAAAATACTTTGAAAATATGGCCTTGATCCATGGATTAAATCAGTATCTAAGTGAATGTGTTGATGTTTTATCGATCTCATCTGTATAAGTGGGAATACATCATATATCTGGGTATTCTTATAGTTATCTTTTTAACATCTTATTTTTTCATTAATTACATATCAACATTAATTTTGTATCTTGAAGCAAATTGATTTTGTATAGTTAAATGTGTCAAGCATCTGTATTAACTGATTTGAAGGCATAAGATTATGAAAATAATGTACTGCCCCTTATATTACTGTTCCAAGAGGAGAAAGCTGTGTAGAAAGATACGTTAAGGGTGAAAATAGCAATACAGTAGATTTGAAGACCTTGATGTTTTGCATTAATCCATTTATGTTTACATCATGTTTAGAAATGTTTTCATTTACTATGGTCTTTGGTCACCTCAACTCAGAAACCTAGTGTCAGATATTTCTTTGAGACTTTCATTTATATGATTTTTTTTGTATAATGTTTTCTTAAAATGTACAAATACTGTATTCAAGTGGAAAAAAAATACAGTATTTGTAGATAACCATAGGTACTACACAGTTCTTTGGTTAAGTCCCAGTATAGTTATATCAGTGTTTACTGAAAGGAACATCAAAATTTTAATGGTATATTATAAAATAAAGACTTTATTAAAGGAAAATTGTACCTATTTTACCTTTTTAAGAGTAAGCCATGAAATCTTATAACATGTCTCATAATTATTTATAATGAAAATTGGCATTTGGGTATAGTCACCACAGCAATGTTCTACATCTCTAAGATTATATAGGTAGGACATGTCAAAGATGACTGTTGTCATTCTGGAGGTCCTATTAGAGAAAACTATAGAAGGGTGGCCTTGTAGGAAGGATCTGAGTCCTCACCCTGAGGTTCTCTTTTTCTTGGTGCTTTATTAGCAACTCTGGATATTTTTATAAAATTAGTTACATTATATATGGATTCAAACTTATTTAATTTACATTAGGTTTTTATGTAAGATTGTCAAGGAAGCACCCAGCATGCAGGCTAATTGCAATAGACTAAAGACATGTTAAATAAATGTATTTGAGAGTCTGTTCATGGTAAGGAGTACATCCCAGTGCCTTTAACCTGGATTTCTAATCTTAAGTGAAATGGGTGCAGCATTCCTTTGGAAAAAAAAATCCTTTTTCTTTTCAGTTGATAATTTTGTGTTTTTCTCATTAAGTTTTCTCCAGAGCACCCACCTTCTCTTCCTTCTTCGTCTGTAATTGTATTGCAAAATGTTTTTCCTCTAAATGAAATTATTACAGGTTGTCTTAATAGAACAACCAACTAACTGAATGTTTCTTAACTGTGGGGACCAAAAGGGAGAGAGCCTGAGGTCACCTGGGGTCTACAAGAGGAGACACATAATCATATGTTTGAATAATCATAAATTAAGACATTATTGGCCCAGCAAATTTCTTAATGTTTTTCCAAGTTCTGGTTTGAATGTTTCTTATTAAAGTTATCTTATATAGGAATTTTATTTTGAAAGGTATTATAGTTTGTATATTTAACAGTAAGGGGGAAAATGTAACCAAAATTAGTATTACTTCTCTAATACATATTGGTACTTGAAGATTCCTTTCAAATGAAACCCAGCCTTTTCCTAATTTAGTACTTAATTCCTCATTTTAACTTAAGTGATCTTTCTAATTCAAAAGCTGTGTTCTTTTTGAATACCATGCATGGGGGTTAAGCTGATGTTAAAACAGTTTGCAGTAAAAAAAGAATCAGCTTAAGTCATTTAATCATTTCAAGTGCATTCTGCATCTTTTAAAAATAAGTTTGAGAAATTTAAGAGAATTGTGTTTTCATTAAGTTTTGTGTATCTTTTGTTATGCCATGTAAATTCCCTTTTACATATGATTAAAGGAAGGTTATGATAAAATGATTAGTTCATTTACATTCACTTGTAGCAATTACATGAGAATTTGAATTTTGTCATGTTTGGGTTTGTTCATTCCTGTGAATGATGGTACAGTTAGGTGAGATTTTCTGTTATGGTACCCAAACTCACCATTTGGTCCTCTTTAATCTTTGAGGGTTTCAATAAAAATTGTTCACTCAAAAAAAAAAAAAAAAGAGAGAATAATCTTGTAATGAACACCAGTGTGTGTACCTCTATTAAATCCTATCATCATTCCACATTTGCTTAAGTTTTTTCAAAGAAATTAAATGTCAAACATAATTAAGACCTGTGCACTCTTCTTGTACACAGGACTCTTATTTATTAGATATTATTTAACAGGTTTTAAACCTTAACTTAAATCATATCATACTACACTCCTCTCTGCAACTGGTTTGGGATTTATCCATGCTGCTAAATGCTATGCAGCTTGCCATTATATAAATTATCTGCAACTCATTAAATCATTTTCTTCTTGGTAGACATTTTGGGTTGTTCCAGTTTTCTGCAATTATGAACCACACTGCAGTGAGCATCCTTATGCATATAACTGTCGTATGCATGAAAATTTCTCTAGGAGTTATAGCCTCAAGTGGATTTGCTTGGAGTGTGAGTATCTTCAACTTTATTCTACATTGCCAAATTTTGCCAAATGTTAAAAGTCTTCCAAAGTGATTGTTTCTATGTCCATTGTGTTTAAATTTTTTTCCCAGATGACATTATTTAGTTTTTTTAAAAAAAAACCCATAGTTACTCCAGCAATGAAGTAACAGAAAAAGCACACTCAATGTAAAGCATATGCACTTTCAAGAGTCAGGGAAATAAATATTTGTTGGATGCCTGCTATGTGCCAGGCCCTGAGCTAGGTGCATTACATTTGCTTTTCAATTAATCCCGTCACCTATCAGTCACCAAATACTTTTTTTTTAAAGGAATTAGAGAGTTTTCTCCCCTTTTAAGAGACAGGGTCTCACTATGTTGCCCAGGCTGGTGTAGAACTCCTGAGCTCAAACGATCCTCCCACCTCAGCCTCCCAAAGTGCTGAGATTACAGCCATGAGCCACCGCACCTGGCCTCAAGTCCTCTTAATTCTACCTGAAAAACATCTCTTCCTCAATGCTTTACCCTTTCTACAATTTTCTTAAGAAGTTTTTTCAAAAATGCAGATGATAGTTGCTCATCTAAACCAACTGGTCTCCTTGCTGCTAGTCTTTGCCGTTGCCAATCCAGCCCTTGCAGTTGTCATTTTCCTAAAAGCACAAATGGGATTATGTCACTTCCTCCTGTGGAAGCTTTTTTAGAAATTTTTCCATTGACTAGAGGATGAACTTCCAACCTTTTGGCTGGGGCCATATTTTGAAAGACTTTGTTTTCCAGCCTTACCTCCTTCTCACCTTTCACCCTTCACCCTGCCAGCACCTGACAGAGTAGTTCTGCAGTGGGCTGTGCTTTTCCAATCGGGAAGAGCACAAGCAAAGTCTGGAAGTTTAGTTCTTTCAACCACCATCACCTCAGACAGATTTAAACAGTTCTGAGTGATTCATTCTGTCCGGAGTAGGGAGCGGAGCAGTGTTAGAGTTGGCTCACTTCAGAAAGGAAGGATTAATTGGATGACTTAGCTATTTGTCATGGATACAACTTAATGGGACACTTTTGAGAGGGAGAGGTTAAAATTTTCTAATTTTATATATTTTAAAATTTATTTATCACCATGTAACATTGGTTTTGTTATGTTCATGGAACTATGAAATAGTTCTATTTTAAAACTATTTGCAATAAAATATCACAACTTTTGTACATTAAACTGCAATAATAAAACTACAAAGACCAGGTAGATTTATCTTCAGTGCTGAAATTTTAAACTGAATTTACAACAGCATTTGTAATAACGAGAGCTGTTTCACTTTTGTCAGGATGAATTTCCAATCTTGATTCCTTGCCGCAGATGAAAACAATGAGCTATCATTGGACATAACCTAACTGACTTTCTCTTTGAAACATGCAAAGCCTTTGACATAAAACTGGCATCATTTAACACATGAAGAAGTTCTGCTAGTGAACCAACAGATAGTTCTCACTTCATTTTTGTACATACAGGGAAAGCTTGAGTGAATTAATTTAGAAGTTTGCTCTACATGAAAAGTTATGCATTACTGGAGCATATGTTAGCACTAATTTCTGAAGGTGCACATGTTAAATCTGCTTCTTTGGGTACAGTCTTTACATAATAACTACTAGCTTTTTTTTTTTTAACAAAGAAGTACATTGTCTCTAAACATTCTATTAAAGTGTAATTCACCAACTTCACACAAAACTGCATAGAATATAAGTGCAGAGCTCAAGGAACATACTTGGATCAAGAAATAGAACATTGGTAATACCCCATCCTGCCAACACTATGTACACCACCTCCCCAAGGTCAGTCATTGCCCTGACACCGGGCACCATCCTTTAGTGTTGCTTACTTTGGAGCTTCATTTAAATGGCATAATACATTATATATATTTTTTTACTTCTGTCTCTTTTCCCTTAATATTATGTTTGTGAAACCCATGTAGCACATAGCAGGAGTTTCTTTTCTTAGCTACTCAGTACTCCTTTGTATGAATGCCACAACTTAGTCATTCTACCACATTTCTACTATTTCTTTCCAGTTTGGGGCTATTATGAAAAATGCTGTTATGAACATTGTTATACCTTTAGGGTGCAATATGTAGTCATTTTTGTTGAGTATATACCTAGCAGAATTGCTGGGTCATATATTTCTCAAAAGGTGACATATGAATGGCCAGCAAATACAGTTCACCCTTGAGCAACACCTGTTTAAACTGCATGGGCCCACTTATATGCAGATTTCTTTTCAACCAAGCATAGATTAGTATTTGTAGGGTACAAAACCTGTAAATATAAGGAGGGCTGACTTTCTGTATAGGCAGGTCTCACAGGGTTGACTAAAGAACTTGAGTATACACAGATTTTAGTATATGTGGGGGATTTTGGTTTATGGTATATGCAACCAATCCCCACCCTGTATACCAAGGGATGACTGTGTTTGAAAAAATGCTCAACATTGCTATCAATAGGGAAATGCAGATTAAAGCCACAATGAGATGTGATCTCACACCTGTCAGAATGGCTATTATCAAAAAGATGAAAAATAAGTGAGAGGATGTGAAGAAAAGGGAACCCTTGTACGCTGTTGGTGGGAATGTAAATTAGTGCAGCCATTGTAGAGATCCCTCAAAAACCAAGAATAGGATTGCCATGTAATCCAGCAGTCCCACTTCTAAGTATTTACCCAAAAGATTTGAAATCAGTTTGTCAAAGAGATATCTGCACTTCTATGCTCATTGTAGCACTACTCACAATAGCCAAGCTGTGGAACCAACATAAATGCCCATCAGCAGATGAATGGAGAAAGAAAATCTCTCTCTCTCTCTCTCTCTCTCTCTCTCACACACACACACACAGGAATACTATTCAGCCTTAAAAAGGGAAATTCTGTGATTTTTGACAATCTGGATAGAGTCAGAGAATGTTAATGCCAAGTTAGATTGGCTCAGAAAGACAAACACGACACCACATGTTCTCACTCATATGTGGAGCATAAAGCAATCAGACTCATAGAAACAGAAGAGAATGGTGGTTACGGAGGCTGGGCTGGGGCAGGCAGGGAGAGGGCAGATGTTGCTCAAAGGGCACAAAATCTCGGGGAATGATTTTTAAAGATCTATTGTATATAAGGAAATAATAGAGCAAACAGACAACATACAGAAGGGGAGAAAATATTCTCAAGCTATACATCCAATAAACAGCTAATAACCAGGATCTACAGAGAACTCAAGCAAATCGGGAAGGAAATATCCAATAACCTCATTAAAAAGTGGCCAAAAGACATGAACAGAAACTTTTGAAAAGAAGATAGACAAATGGCCAATAAACATATGAAAAAATACTCAACATCACTAATTATTGGGAAATGCAAATTAAAACCGCAATGAGATATCTATCACCTTACCCCAGTTAGAATGGCTCTTATTAAAAAGTCCAAAAACAATAGATGCTGGCATGGCTGCAGAGAGAATGGAATGCTTATACACTATTGGTGGGGCTGCAGATTAGTACAACCTCTATGGAAAACAGTTTGGAGAGTCCTAAAAAAAATTAAAAGTAGACCTACCATTTGATTCAGCAATCCTACTACTGGGTATTTACCCAAGTGAAAAGAAGTCATCAAAAAACACCTGCACTTGAATGTCTATTTCAGCACAATTCACAATTGCAAAGATGTGGAATCAACCCAAGTGCCCATCAACTCATGAGTGGATTAACAAAATGTGGTATATTTATACTATGGAGCCTTTATACTATTCAGCCTTGAAGAAGGATGAACTAAGGTCTTTTGCAAAAATTTGGCTGGAACTGGAGACCATTATCCTAAGTGAAGTATCTAAAGAATGGAAAAACAAGCACCACATGCACTCACTATTAAGTTGGAAATAACCTATGAGCACACGTGTGCACAGAGGCAAGTAAAACCCATGGAAATCAAGCAAGGGGAAGTGGGGAGGGGGGATGGGTAAAAACTTATGGTACAATGAACACTATCTGGGTGATGGGCACACTTATTACATAACCCTAACTCAAGCATACGAAATCAATACACATAACCAAAAACATTTCTACCCCTGTAATGTTTTGAAATAAAGTCTATTGTACAGCATGGTGAATATAGAGTATTGTACATTTCAAAATTGCTAAGAGTAAATTTCAAATGTTCTCACTACAAAAAAGTATTTGAGGCAATGGAAATGTTCATTGCTTTCATTATTCCACATTGTATTTGTAAGTCATGACATTCACTTCGTACTCCATAAATTATATACATTTATATAGTTATAAATTATCAATTTACAATAAAAAGAAGCTGGGTCATAGAGCAGGCACATGTTCAGCTTACACAGAGTCTGTAGAACAGGCAGTGTTTACATCTGGGTTGCTCGGGCTCTGTTTCCCACACATGTCTCGCATATTTCCCCTGTGATTTCCCGCACGTTTCCTGTCTGGAGGCCTGCGAGCTTCGGTCCTCTCGCAGGCTGGGGAATGGGCCCTGCATAATTAGCTGGCACACCAAGTGGCCGTCGAGGGCAGTAGCGTGACATACTCCCTCCTCTCT